AGAATTGTAAAAGAGATTTACTGGACGAAAAAAGTGGAGATGGAAGCTATTGAAGCAGGTCAACAGGTGGTACTGTAGTGCCTACAGTGCGTAGTACACATACAAGGCATACCATTAGAGGCGTGGTACCTCTAACCACCACCACTGTGTGTTAGAGTACACCCTCGCCTCTAACACGGTACCGCTCTCATAACTAGTCGAGCCCAGCTAGCCTAGTGTTGTCACCCCCCAGCCCCCTCAGCTGACGTCCACACCCGTTTAATACCTGTTCGTCCTCAGTCCCGTTGGCTGACATGAGAGGCATAAATATAACTCAAGCTATTACACCGAAAAATATTTTTACACACAACTCGTAAAAAGATACACATCAAAATGCGCTATTTTGGGGCAGAATTCTCCCCGCGCCGTGCATGACAAGTTGTCTAGACGCAGATCTCGTCATATTTCAGCGAAATATTTCTGGTATATGCGGGTGACGGGCAATTAGTCAGTCGCAGTTTGATATGATGACAAAGGTGCCAAGATAGCAGCACTGAGCCAGCTGTGGGGTGTGTGCAGGGGGGGAAAGTGGCAGGAGGGACCATCTGTTGGGACGTGCCAGGGAAAGTGCTGTGGCAAGAAAGTAGCCGCTTTCTTGCCATAGCACGAAAGACGGTGTTTAGTCTGGAAGTACTGGGGGATGTATAGGGATTGTCCTACCGGAAAGTAGTGGAGAAAAGAACAGGAAGATTCTCAAGTTCAAGTATGTTTATTGAGATAAGCAAGAAATACATCTCAAAGGGATAAAGTAGCTTAGGCTATTTCTACCCCCTGAAGATTCTCTGCAGACAAAGTAGCAAGGAGAAACAAATTATCAATTATTATAAACAAATTATCAATACATAAAATAAAAGCTCTTTTTAATTCATATTCGAGTTTGAATGATATTTTAAATATATTAAATTAAATATTAAAAATTAAATCATATTTTAATATGATATTTACATGGAGTCTGCAGTCGGCTGCTGTTGGGAAACTTGACACTCATCCTGGGAGAAAGTCTGACTGAACTTTGACAATCCTCTCATTAGCAACGAGGAAGAACTTGTCACTTCTTAAAGAAAAGTCACAACTTCTTATTGTTTCCTCCGCCACATTAGCATTGGCTTTACAATGGTTCATTTGAGTCACTTATTCTCTGTGTAGACTAAAAGATTAGATTCGTGTGATGGAAAGAATTACGACGTATACAAAATAATAATTCAAAGTGGTTTCGACGGTCAAAGTATTTATTGCTATAAATAATAATATAAATGATGAAACGATAATAAACATCATACGAAAGTTACGGAAGGAAATGTAGAATGTAGAACATCACACACACACACACACACACACACACACACACACACACACACACACACACACACACACACACACACACACACACACACACACACACACAAGTAGTTAATAAACAGTTGATTGACAGTTGAGAGGCGGGCCGAAAGAGCAAAGCTCAACCCCCACAAACACAACTAGGTGAATACACACACACACTCTCTCAATGTTTGCCGATGATGCAAAAATTATGAGGATTGAAACTGAGGACGATAGTAGGAGGCTACAAGATGACTTAGACAGACTGAGTGAATGGTCCAACAAATGACTGTTGAAGTTCAACCCGAGTAAATGCAAAGTAATGAAACTAGGCAGTGGAAACAGGAGGCCAGACACAGGATGCAGAATAGGAGATGAAGTACTTAATGAAACGGACAGAGAGAAAGATCTAGTTGATATCACACCAAACCTGTCTCCTGAAGCCCACATAAAAAGAATAACGTCTGCGGCATGTGCGAGGCTGGCTAACATCAGAACAGCGTTCAGGAACCTGTGCAAGGAATCATTCAGAATCTTGTACACCACATATGTAAGACCAATTCTGGAGTATGCGGCCTCATCATGGAGCCCGTACCTTGTCAAGCACAAGACGAAGCTGGAAAAAGTTCAAAGGTATGCCACTAGACTAGTCCCAGAACTAAGAGGCATGAGTTACGAGGAAAGGCTGCGGGAAATGCACCTTACGACACTGGAAGACAGAAGAGTAAGGGAAGACATGATCACTACCTACAAAATTCTAAGGGGGAATTGACAGGATAGATAAGGATAAACTGTTTAATACGAGTGGTACGCGAACAAGGGAACACAGGTGGAAACTGAGTACCCAAATGAGCCACAGAGACGTTAGAAAGAACTTTTTCAGTGTCAGAGTAGTTAACAGATGGAATGCATTAGGCAGTGATGTGGTGGAAGCAGACTACATACACTGTTTCAAATGTAGATACGATAGAGCCCAGTAGGCTCAGGAACCTGTACACCAATTGATTGACAGTTTAAAAGTGGAACCAAAGAGCCAGAGCCTAACCCCCGCAAGCACAACTAGGTGAGTATAAACAAACACACACACACAGAACACGAAGTCAGCCACACGCACATACACACACACACACATATGTCAGAGCCCGATAGGCTCAGGAATCTGTTCACCTGTTGATTGACGGTTGAGAGGCGGGACCAAAGAGCCAGAGCTCAACCCCCGCAAACACAACTAGGTGAGTACACACAGAACACGAAGTCAGCCACACGCACATACATACGACATAGTTATCCTTCTGATGCAAAAGTGTCTTCATGGCTTATGACTGGAAATGATGAGGAGTCAGGAGCCCCACAGAAGGTGCCAGAGTGTTGATCTTGGGTGATTCTTATGCAAAACACATTTTTGTAAACATAATTCACCGGAGAAAGTTTCCAAGTATTTCCAAGTTTCGTATAATTATGCAAATCTTGTCTGACTCCCACTTCCAACAGTACATTAAAAAATGTTTTTTTGAGTAATTATAATATATAAATAAAAAAGAAAATATGAGTATATATATATATATATATATATATATATATATATATATATATATATATATATATATATATATATATATATATATATATATATATATATAATATAGGGTATTAATCTTGCACAACTTTACTGTGCAAGATTACATGATTACAAAAGTGGCCTTAACACATACATAACACATCTATTACAAGTAAAATGAAAAACACACCAATGGGAAACATTAATAAATGTCACGAATAGATTCGATCATTGTTGCAAATCAAACACTTCTTCGAAATCCTCGGAAGTTGGACTCGTGCCCAAGATGCACCAGGCATTTCCCCTCTGAATCGCAACACTGAGGCGCTGGAACAAGAAACTTTTCGCTTTCTGGTCTTTTGTAACACCGATCAATTTGTCGCCTAATTCCTTCAGGAACTTCAATGCACATTTTCCCCACGAACCGAGGGTCTCCGAACCGATCGGAACAAAACTGTAGCAGTGTGCCAGACCTCTGTATGTGATGGCTTTCTGCAGTTCCCTGAAAGAAGCCGCGCCGCCCTCACTTCGCGTGTGCTGTGGTGGAGAGGAGCTGTGGTATTAAGTATTAAGTATTAAGTTTTAGTCTTTAATGTTTTTCATACCCGAAACGCTTTGCGTAATAGTGGCTTTAGGCATTATATGTACTAGCTCTATCTATAAATCTATCAATTTTTGTATCACTTCGTGTATGTATGTACTTTACCTGAATAAACATTTGAATTTGAATTTTGAGATAGGTGCAGGCCAGTGTGGAAGTGCATGTGTAGTCCCACACCCCTTGCTTATATACATTCTTACCACCTTCTGTACTCAACATTCGTCTAAATATATCTTATTACTATCTATGTTTATTGTCACCACAACTGACGCAACAGTAAAACGCTACAATACCATCACAATTGGCTGCAGGAACACAATAATGCCCTTGTCAAACTTGCAGTAAATGAAGACATTAATGGCGAACACGTGCGAACGGCAGCTAGCGCACAAGTACAATATCGAGTTGCTTCTTATGTCATTTTTGTTGATTAATATTACGTATTCGACGTTTATCTTTAATACATATTGTTAAATACAGGTATACCTAGCATATAATAAGAGTTTACCCAAAAAAAACGGCCATGGACTAGTGCTTTGTGCGTTCGATCATGTTTACTACCAATGGGATGTGTCGTGGTCTTACGAAGCCCATGCTATGTCTATCACATCTCTCAACTCTCCCTTAATAATTATATGCCTGCTAAGTAGAAGATGTTAGCTGTTAATAGCATTATATTGTGGTCTTTATAGTGACCAATAGTTTATATACGGAACGTACAAATTTCGTGTTCGAAATGGTAAAATTGTGTACGATCCGTTATATATGTACCAACTGACTTGTATTCCAACAACAGCTGAGAGCTTGAGATTGACAGCGGTACAGCACGCAGGTGAGACGGTACTGACAGCGGTACAGCATGCAGGTGAGACGGTACTGACAGCGGTACAGCACGCAGGTGAGACGGTACTGACAGCGGTACAGCACGCAGGTGAGACGGTACTGACAGCGGTACAGCATGCAGGTGAGACGGTACTGACAGCGGTACAGCACGCAGGTGAGACGGTACTGACAGCGGTACAGCACGCAGGTGAGACGGTACTGACAGTGGTACAGCACGCAGGTGAGACGGTACTGACAGTGGTACAGCACGCAGGTGAGACGGTACTGACAGCGGTACAGCCCGCAGGTGAGACGGTACTGACAGCGGTACAGCACGCAGGTGAGAAGGTACTGACAGTGGTACAGCACGCAGGTGAGACGGTACTGACAGTGGTACAGCACGCAGGTGAGACGGTACTGACAGCGGTACAGCACGCAGGTGAGACGGTACTGACAGCGGTACAGCCCGCAGGTGAGACGGTACTGACAGCGGTACAGCACGCAGGTGAGACGGTACTGACAGAGGTACAGCACGCAGGTGAGACGGTGCTGACAGTGGTACAGCACGCAGGTGAGACGGTACTGACAGTGGTACAGCACGCAGGTGAGACGGTACTGACAGTGGTACAGCACGCAGGTGAGACGGTACTAACTGTGGTACAGCATGCAGGTGAGACGGTACTGACAGTGGTACAGCACGCAGGTGAGACGGTACTGACAGCGGTACAGCACGCAGGTGAGACGGTACTGACAGCGGTACAGCACGCAGGTGAGACGGTACTGACAGCGGTACAGCACGCAGGTGAGACGGTACTGACAGTGGTACAGCACGCAGGTGAGACGGTACTGACAGTGGTACAGCACGCAGGTGAGACGGTACTGACAGTGGTACAGCACGCAGGTGAGACGGTACTGACAGTGGTACAGCACGCAGGTGAGACGGTACTGACAGTGGTACAGCACGCAGGTGAGACGGTACTGACAGCGGTACAGCCCGCAGGTGAGACGGTACTGACAGCGGTACAGCCCGCAGGTGAGACGGTACTGACAGCGGTACAGCACGCAGGTGAGACGGTACTGACAGTGGTACAGCACGCAGGTGAGACGGTACTGACAGCGGTACAGCACGCAGGTGAGACGGTACTGACAGCGGTACAGCATGCAGGTGAGACGGTACTGACAGCGGTACAGCACGCAGGTGAGACGGTACTGACAGCGGTACAGCACGCAGGTGAGACGGTACTGACAGTGGTACAGCACGCAGGTGAGCCGAGGCAGGTAAGGTCGCGTACCCGAGCCGAGGCAGGTAAGGTCGCGTACCCGAGCCGAGGCAGGTAAGGTCGCGTACCCGAGCCGAAGCAGGTGAGGTCGGTACCCGAGCCGAGGCAGGTGAGGTCGCGTACCCGAGCCGAAGCAGGTGAGGTCGCGTACCCGAGCCGAGGCAGGTGAGGTCGCGTACAGCGAGGCAGGTGAGGTCGCGTACCCGAGCCGAGGCAGGTGAGGTCGCGTACCCGAGCCGAGGCAGGTGAGGTCGCATACCCGAGCCGAGGCAGGTGAGGTCGCGTACCCGAGCCCAGGCAGGTGAGGTCGCGTACCCGAGCCCAGGCAGGTGAGGTCGCGTACCCGAGCCCAGGCAGGTGAGGTCGCGTACCCGAGCCGAGGCAGGTGAGGTCGCGTACCCGAGCCGAGGCAGGTGAGGTCGCGTACCCGAGCCGAGGCAGGTGAGGTCGCGTACCCGAGCCGAGGCAGGTGAGGTCGCGTACCCGAGCCGAGGCAGGTGAGGTCGCGTACCCGAGCCGAGGCAGGTGAGGTCGCGTACCCGAGCCGAGGCAGGTGAGGTCGCGTACCCGAGCCGAGGCAGGTGAGGTCGCGTACCCGAGCCGAGGCAGGTGAGGTCGCGTACCCGAGCCGAGGCAGGTGAGGTCGCGTACCCGAGCCGAGGCAGGTGAGGTCGCGTACCCGAACCCAGGCAGGTGAGGTCGCGTACCCGAGCCCAGGCAGGTGAGGTCGCGTACCCGAGCCCAGGCAGGTGAGGTCGCGTACCCGAGCCCAGGCAGGTGAGGTCGCGTACCCGAGCCCAGGCAGGTGAGGTCGCGTACCCGAGCCCAGGCAGGTGAGGTCGCGTACCCGAGCCCAGGCAGGTGAGGTCGCGTACCCGAGCCGAGGCAGGTGAGGTCGCGTACCCGAGCCGAGGCAGGTGAGGTCGCGTACCCGAGCCGAGGCAGGTGAGGTCGCGTACCCGAGCCGAGGCAGGTGAGGTCGCGTACCCGAGCCGAGGCAGGTGAGGTCGCGTACCCGAGCCGAGGCAGGTGAGGTCGCGTACCCGAGCCGAGGCAGGTGAGGTCGCGGACCCGAGCCGAGGCAGGTGAGGTCGCGGACCCGAGCCGAGGCAGGTGAGGTCGCGGACCCGAGCCGAGGCAGGTGAGGTCGCGGACCCGAGCCGAGGCAGGTGAGGTCGCGGACCCGAGCCGAGGCAGGTGAGGTCGCGGACCCGAGCCGAGGCAGGTGAGGTCGCGGACCCGAGCCGAGGCAGGTGAGGTCGCGGACCCGAGCCGAGGCAGGTAGGCTCGCGGACCCGAGCCGAGGCAGGTAGGCTCGCGGACCCGAGCCGAGGCAGGTAACTTCACTTACCTTCACTTTATGGGAAGGATCTCTCACTGGATAAGCCAGACACCTGGATAAGCAAAATTCTTATTCGGGAAGTGAAAATAATAACCATTCTGTATTTGCAATTTTTTTGTGCCACAAATAACATAATTTGAATTATCACACACACACACACACACTATAAATAAAAAATTGTAATTTAAAGCAGAAACTTCAGCATGCCTTGTTGTAGTTCGTCTTTTTGTTTGATACTGTAGATTTTGAAATGTGTAATTCTTGAAAATTTATTAAATCAAATTTCCATTTATACTGATTTCTGTCCAGATATGGCGGTTTTGCCAGAAAATTATCCAAACTTGAGTTAACACAGATAACGGACTTGATAAATAATGCAGACTCTTTGCCAGTCTGAGTTATCCGGCCAAATTCCTAGTTGTCTAGATTTCTGTACGGATATGGTGAAGTTTTGCCAAAAAATTATTCGGATGCGATTTTTCCCAGATAACCCAAATATTCAGTTCAGTGGGCTTCAGATAACCGTGCTCATACAGTGCTTATTTTTTTCACTGATCTGTTATTTACCCACCTTATAAAAGTGGGAATGGGGTAATGAATATGTAATTATTTTACAGTTATTTCCTCCTAAATACAGTAATGCATTTTATGAGCAATGCCTTTATACTAGCTTTCCTATGCCTTGACTTTGAACCTTCATAAGACATGGCTGTTGTGACAGTTCAGAGTACCCCAGGAAGATAAGTGCCTTTCCAAATTGTCTTGTCCTACAGAAAGAGTCAGAGAACTTGGTGAAGAGGATACCTTGATCTATCCCAAGGTGGATCTGCTCACTGTCCCAAACTTCAAACAATCCTTAGCATGACTAAAATCAACACGGTTCATTCTGAGACTACCAAAGACCATAACCCAACTATATCAACTGTTCATTGCACGTGGCACCTTGTATACTCCTGTGTGTCGCAACTATCATCTACTTCAGTTTTGTTTCAATGCAAAATTCCTTAGCACTGATTGTGAGTAATAGCAGCCACCATCAGTGGCTCTCTTTTTTACTGTTATTGTTGTCTTCCTTTACTTCGTGTTTTGGGGGATTTAGTCTCCTAGCCTAGGCCTTCACACCGAGTTGACTAAATATTTTTTGTATATTTCTGTTCACCTTGTCTGGATCAAAACATATTCTCATTTGGGGGATTTTGTGCCAAATTTACAGGTTTATTTATGCTTGAATATCATAAGTGACTTTTATTATTATTATTATTTAGTATGTGCCTACCCTCTCCCTGTTTCATTAGTTCTAATGGATTTAGGGGTGTTATGTTATTTCAAATTGGACCTTCAGTAATGATCTTGCTTCTTCAGTGTTTTTTTTATCTTTGCTCGATGGCTTTCACAGTTCTACCCAAGGGATTTTGTTTGCATATCATCTTGCATGCAGTCATGCTGTTTTGTGCTACTTCCAGAAGAACTTTAACACATGTTGTTGAGCCCTCCCATTTCCATTTAGTCTCTTTCCTGAGGAGGCTGTGGATAATGTATTGGTAACTACAGGAGTGGTTTTCAAATCATAATCTTTTGTGCATCAGCTGAATCCTGCTCAGCCTGCCTCTTACCAGATGCATGTTCTCTCTTGAGATTTTCAGCCTCCTAAATGAGGCAGTGGTTTGGATCTGTCGGTGGCATGGACACGTGCAGACCTCTCCTCCTCCTCCTGGTCACTCTCATTTTAGAGGTCATTTGCCCATTATTTATCAATCTCTTAGATATCTTAGTTATGGTTTCTGGAAAGTCTTTCATGGTAGATCCCAGTGACATTTGTTGGGGTATTGGGGATGGTGGACATCTGGGTGCCATTTTACATGTTTAGACTGGGGATGCCTAGGCCTTTTGTTTGACTAGTGTCCAAGAGTCATGTGCTCAATCCATTCCTCTTCTACATTTACAGAGTGTTGGATAGGGGTGGGATTTCTGTTTTCTGCATAACTTTTACTCCTGCATAACTGAACTCCTTGCCACTTTTTGTGTGTGTGGACAAGGCAATTCAAGAAGTTATTTATCCTTCTGGGTCATACAGTCACTCTAAACCTGGTACAATGACTGGCTTGCAAAGGTCCAGAGCTGAGATATAATAGGGGTACTGAGGTGCCACACAGAAATGGGCATTTAATCTCACTAAACACGCTATTTTTTCATACAGGACTGAGAATGACGGATAAAGAGTCCGTATCGGTGAAATGGGAAAACCATCACTCTGTCCTTCTTCATGCCATTCAGGAGATATACGTGAAGGTAGATATGTAACAGTTGCAGTTCAGTACATGTCATCTATGCTTAAGGCCGCGCATCACAGTGGTTAACCTGGTTGTAATTGGCAGCATTCAATACAGTAAAATGATCATACACATTTTTGTAAGAATTTCTAAGCTATCACACTTGGGTGCTTCCAAGGGTAAGATTGTGCAAAGGTTACTGGAGAAAATGATGACTGACAGGGCAGGTCAGTATTTTGTGTCAGTGTTTCAGGGAACCTTTTATATGTTTCTGCAGTCATGATGGTACTAGGAAAGCCTTGGTTAACATTAATTATAGTCCAGAATGACAACCCTTAGTATCATTAATAAAAACTCTAGGCCCTTGAAGCTCATTTTGGCATAACAAATGTTTGCCCACAAATATTATCACTAATGACCAGTTAGCCCACCAGAGCACAACCACAAATTGCCACCAGGGGTAACTGGCAGCACCAACTCCACAGCAAAGTTCCCTGACTCGGGAAGAATAGTCTTTGCGTTCTTCTTGGCTGAGTACCATGGTAACTGTGATAAATTCGAACCAGTTGTCAGTTATGTGACATTTTTTATGATTTAAAACTGTTTCTCTTACTGTAACTATGTGTATAGGCATTTAAGGCTGTGTATATCATTATTATAAAGTAAGTTCAGCTGCTACTTCACCTGCATGTCTGGGTGTTTCCTGTTCTGTTAACATACCAGGGCATGTCTTTGTAAAGTAGTGGCAGTACAGGGTTAGACAGGGATAAACGAAAGGTAACTAATGGACTGGAAGGAGAACTTGGTGACCTGTCCAATCTGATCTTCATGAACAATTAAGAAATAATCAGGGACATTAATATCTCAGACACTACACACTTAGGTCACAAAGTCAAAGATGTCCAAACATTAATGTGCAGTACATAATACAGTGGTACCTCGGATTACGAACGTCGCTGTTTACAAACTTTTTCGGGTTATGAGCCCGATTTGTTCAGAAAATTTGAATCGGGATACGAGTTTGTTGATACGCGTATGGCCGACCTAGCACATGGTGGCATGGCGATCGCGCTTCAGTTTAACAGTGCCTTGCGCCCAGTGACTATCTCAACTGAATTCTTCACAAGAATTTACAGTTTTTTGTTGGATTTTTGGCCATTTGAGCATAAAAGTTGTTATATAACTCGCCATGGGTCCCAAGAAAGCCAGTGGTAATGTTCAAGGCAAGAAATCACATGAGAGAATGACCATAGAGGAAAAACAAGAGATCATTCATAAGCATGAAAATGGTACTCGTGTTGTTGAACTAGCTAGGCAGTACAACAAATCTTCAGGGGAGGAAGAGGAGGCAGTAGAGAATGTCCCTTCCTTATTAATTAAGAAAATGTGTGCAGTATGGGAAGGACTGCAAAGTCTTGCTGAAAAGAATCACCCAGATAAAGCTGTAGTAGGCCGTTGCATTGATCTTTTTAATGACAATGTGATGCCTCACTACAGACAAGTGTTGCAAAGAAGGGAAAAACAATCTTCAATAGAACATTTCCTTGTGAGAAAAGTGAGAAAATCAAGCAGTAAGCCACAACCAGGATCTAGTGGTATGCAGGCAAAATGTGCCGGAGTGCACTCCAGAGAAATCTTCACTGCCTGATGTTATAATGGAAGGGGACTTGCCTTCCAAACAGTAATACCTCTCCTCCTCCCCCTCCTCACCATCTTCCATACACCAACAGGAGTCATCAGCAAGGGTAAGTAATAACTTGAACATACTTTTGTAGTGTAGATTTGGGTGAATTAGGTATAAAATTTACTTTGAAGTGAAGTTTTTTGGGAATTAGGAACGGATTAATTCATTTCTCATTATTTCTTACGGGGAAATTAGCTTCAGTTTACGAATTTTCGGGTTATGAACCGTCTCCAGGAACAGATTAAATTCTTAAACCGAGGTACCCATGTATGCCTAAAAGAAATAACAAGCAAGAATGGCTAAGTACCAAAACTCCAACGCATGGGGAAAGAATAGTTGATTTCCAAAGTATGCAATATCTGCCTAAAATGTGTTCCTTTGCTGAAGAGCAAGCAGAGGTGCATATCTAAAAGAAAAAAAATTATAAACAAGGAAATTAAAGAAATAGAACAGCACCTAAATTCCCATATCTATCTGTCATTCCTATCTCATTTATAGAAAGTTATAAATGAGATAGGACAAAATTTAGAAGTATTTTTTCACATATACAAAATAAGCTGATAGGGTGTCCCGGTAGTACGGTCGGGTTCATTCTCGACTCATAATCGAATCGAGAATTCTGGGTTCGAATCCCGGGCGGGACAGAAACAGTTGTGCGTGTTTCAGATCACTTGATGCCCCTGTCCACCTAGCAGTAAATAGGTACCCAAGATATGTATGTAAATAGGTATTGTTTATAACCCTGTGGGTGAAAAAGCATCTCCTGTTCTCGACCCTATATAGTGGCTTGTCGAGCTTGAAACTATTGTTCGTTGTTTGTGTTACATTTGATTTTGAAGAAATTGTCTGGATCAACATCCTTCACATTGTTCAGTAATTTAAAAATTTCAATGAGATTTGCCATCTTATGCCTGGTTTGCAGTATTGTTAGCCCTGTGGCCCTGAACCGTTCCTGATACAAGAGATAATAAAAGACTTGGGATCGATGGATTGCTTTAAGTGTAGGTTAGACAGTATACTGTATATGAGTGAGTTTGGGTGGATATAAATATGAGCTTCCTTGTATGGGCCAATAGGCCTTCTGCAGCATTCTCAACTCATGTTTTTATGTAAATTTGTTCACTTAATTTTTTAAATATTATCCTTGGATTGGTTTTAATTGAAGGTGTGGAGATACTTTACAGCCAAAATATTTGAGAGAACACATTATTACAAAGGTGTTAAGATACAGGCAGCTGAACTAACTTTGGTCTTTGACAAATACCTTGTAAATAATTAAACTATCCAAACCCAACAATAGGATGTCAGGAGAAGCCATTACTAAATAATTATCACACAACATCATATTTGTCTTTTCTTTCAGGAAATCTTTGCTGATGTGAAATTAAAATGTGGTGGTCGTGAACACTGGGTGCACAAATTTATTCTCTCGGCCTGTAGTGAATATTTTCAGAATTTGTTGATAGATGTTCCTCATAAAGGATCTGTTACTGTTCCCCATAATATTCAGTATAAAGAACTCGCCTCCATCCTGGACTTCATGTATCTGGGAGAAATCGTCGTACCCCAGACAGACTTGGCAGAGCTTATAAATGCTGCTGAAATTCTGATGGTTCGAGGGCTTGCAGTTCCATGTGAGGATTTTAGTGATGGAGAAAATATCAGGGATGATTCAAAACCAAAGGAATTATATAAAATTTCAAACAAAATGCAAAGGAATTTTTTAGAGAACAAATTTCCAAAAACTAATAAGGAAATAGTAAGCAAGAAGAGATTTAGTCGTGAGAGGGCTGCTACTAAACGACAAGGAATTCCATACCAAGGCAGAGAAAGAAATAAGACTAATGAAGAAATCAGAATTAAAAAAGAACTTGTTGAGTATGATGAGGCAGATCAACCAGAGTTGACAGATGATAACACAGATTGCTACTTGTTTCAAGAAAGTTCGTTTACAAATAGGAACACACTCGACAGAGAAGCAACAGTGGAGCCAAGTGTTGATCAGGGCTGTGAAGGATCAAGTGCCAACATCAACACTCTCTTGAAAGTCTTAATAGACAACACTCCTGAAAATGTAAGTACTACACAGTTGAAGTTTTAAATGTTTAGATATTTGTGTTCAAGTAATTGACTTCAAAGTTTCTTTGATTTTCTTGAACCTGGAATTACCAATGGGTATTTTGACAAGGTTATATAAAGCTATATATCACTTCTGGGAGGGCCCCCCTCCCTGCCTCATGAAGTATCCTCCTGAGCTAAGTGCAAGCCCAGCCAAGCCTTGGGGGAGGTGTAATTACCTATGTGTAGTTACAGGTAATTACAGGTAAAATTTTCTAATAATTTTTGGCATCTTTGTTTCCTTAGCTTGAATCTATCTTGTTCTTGCGGTTGCAAGTTTCAGGAATTCCTCTTGGTCAATTCCCATTATTATTTTATAAGTGGTGATCATATTGCCTATTTTTCTTCTATCTTTTATCTCTGCCATATTTAACACCTCTAGCCTCTCTTCATAACTTGTTTTTCAGTTCTGGAAGCCATTTTGTAGCATGCCTTTTCACCTTTTCCAGTTATTGATGTGTTTCTTGATATATGGATACAATACAACTGCTGTGTATCCCAATTTTGGACTCACAAAAGTCATGAACAGTTTCTTTAGTATTTCACCATCCATATAATTAGGTGATTCTGAAGGAGTGCAGCATATGCTCCGCATACAATGACCTTCATGCATTCCTCTGGTGACACACTACTATCCACAACCACCCCCTAGATCTCTTTCTTTGTTAGTTCTTTAATTCCTTTCTGCATAATTTGTAAGTTGTGTGTGGTCTATTTTCTCCAATTCCACATTCCATAACATGGCATTTATTCACATTGAATTCCATTTGCCACATGGTGCTTCAAGCACTTATTTATCTATGTCAATTTGAAGGGCATGACAATCGTCTATGTCTCCTATCTTCCCAAGTAGCTTAGCAGCATCAGCCAACCCATCCTCCTGTTTAGATAGTACCTATTATGACGATCGTCAATAGTTATGAATTCGTATGTACAGTACTTAGCTTTTAGATAGTAGTATACTGACTAGTAAGGAATTCTTAAAAAAAAACTAAAATACTAACTTAAATATTCTTAGACCTAGCACACATACAGTATTACCGTATTAGGCCTCATATCATGTATTAGGTCTAGGAAGGTTAGGTTAGTTTAGTTTGTCTTTGCAACACAAGTTAAAAAAAATAGTTTTCCCAGTTTGTCCAACTTAATAGTGCCGATTTCTACTTCCTAATTTTATTGTATGTCAGTATATATACAGTACTATGGTCCTTGCATGCATCAGGCCCCCCCTCAATTTCAGGGGGACCTGATGGCTGAATGGACAGCACTCGGGATTCGTTGTCCCAAGGTTTATGATCCCCGGCAGAGGCGGAAACAAATGGGCAGTTTCTTTCACCCTGATGCCCGTGTTCATCTAACAGTAAATAGGTACCTGGGAGTTAGACAGCTGCTATGGACTGCTTCCTGGGGATGTGTAACAAAAAGAAGGCCTAATCGAGGACTGGGCCATGGGAACACTAAGCCCCGAAATTATCTCGTAGATAACCCCTCATCATTACTATAAGTACAGTACTGTCAAAACAGGAGGATGGGCTACATCAGCAAACATTTTCATATAATTCTGTATTCCTTCTGGTAGGTCATTTATGTAGACGACGAACATTACTGGTGCAAGAACTGAACCCTGTGGTACTCCGCTAGTAACACTCCTCCAGTCAAGACATATTGCCTCCGATTACTACTCATGTTTTTATTAGTTAGAAATTTTTTTTCATACATGTCAGCAGTCTCCCTGTCACCCCTCCAGCATGTACTCACTTATTTGTGCTTGCAGGATCGAGCATTGACTCTTGGATCCTGTGTGTGTGTGTGTGTAATTACCTAAGTGTAGTTACAGGATGAGAGCTACACTCGTGGTGTCCTGTCTACCCAGCACTCTTTGTCATAGAATGCTTTGAAGCTACTCACAGTTTTGGCCTCCACTACCATCTCACTTAACTTGTTCCAACCTTCTACCACTCTGTTTGCGAAAGTGAATTTTCTTGTATTTCTTCCGCATTTTTGTTTAGTTAGTTTAAATCTATGACCTCTTGTTCTTGAAGTTCCAGGTCTCAGGAAATCTTCCCTATCGATTTTTATCAATTCCTGTTACTATTTTGTATGTAGTGATCATATCACCTCTTTTTTCTTCTGTCTTCTAGTGTTGACAGAAACTTTGACAGTTTTGGGATATTTAATGCCTCTAACCTCTCCTCGTTCCTCTTGCCCTTCAGTTCTGGGAGCCACTTAGTGGCATGTCTTAGCACCTTTTCCAGTTTGTTGATGTGATTCTTACGATATGGGCACCACACAACTGCAGCATTTTCTAGCTTCGGCCTAACAAAAGTTGTGAACAATTTCTTTAGTATTTCACCATCCATGTATTTAAAAGCAATTCTGAAGTTAGAAAGCGTGGCATAGGCTCCTCGCACAACGTTCTTTATATGGTCCTCGGGTGATAGTATTCTATCTAGACCCACCCCTAGATCTCTTTCTTTATCAGAATTCTTTAAAGATTTCTCACATAATTTATAGGTTGTGTGAAGTCTATGTTCTCCTATTCCACATTTCATAACATGGCATTTATTCACATTAAATTCCATTTGCCAAGTGGTGCGCCATATACTTATTTTGTCCAGGTCTTCTTGAAGGGCTTGACAATCATCTAAGTTTCTTATCCTTCCTATTATCTTAGCATCATCAGCAAACATGTTCATATAACTCTGTATACCAACTGGTAGATCATTTATGTAGACAATGAATATCACCGGTGCAAGAACTGAATCCTGTTGTACTCCACTTGTGACATTTCTCCAGTCCGATACATTGCCTCTGATTACTGCCCTCATTTTTCTATCGTGAAAGTGTGTGTATGTGTGTTTGTGTGTGTAATTTTTAATTACCTAAGTGTAATTACCTAAGTGTAGTTACAGGATTAGAGCCACGCTCATGGTGTCCTGTCTTCCCAGCACTCATTGTCATATAACGCTTTAAAACTACTGACGGTCTTGGCCTCCACCACCTTCTCACCTAACTTGTTCCAACCGTCTACCACTCTGTGAAAGTGAATTTTCTTATATTTCTTTGGCATCTGTGTTTAGCTAACTTAAATCTGTGTAGCGGTCCCAGTGCCTGGGCTCCCTGCAGCCCCTGGAAATCCCCTATGGATTAGGTGATCCAATGTGTATCCAATTAGGTTGGTTCAATATGCATCCTGGCAAGCTCTGGGCTGGCCTTGATGTTTTGAAGCCCATATCCAATGTAACAGCCTTGTTTCCTGCAGTGACAGCGATGGATGCTTTTACCAAGCTGCTCATTCCTCTCCTTAGCGAAACAATTACAGATTTTTATGAGATTCGCTTTATGTGTAGGCAGTCAGTTCTTGGCCAATTTCAGGATGCAGTCTGTTCTCGCTCTCTGATATCCACTTCACCCTTTTCTCCTCTTTCTTGAGGTTGTGGTTTCCTGTGTTCTCATGGCTGCTACCATGGCTTTTCAGTTGTGTCTAGGCTTTTTGTGGCAGAGTACTGCTCCCACTGCTAGCTTGCAGACTTTTAGGTTTCAGGCCTCTTTTCCTCCTGGTCGAGATAGAGGTGGTACCAATGCCTGGAGCTTTGGCACTGCCTTCAGTTGTGGTTTTCTCCTCTTGGTGAAGAAGTTCTAGGTCTTCCCCAAGGATTGCAGTTCATCAGGGCACTTCACTTTGGCTGATTTGTAGTTTGTTGGGTGCAGGGGGTAACAATTGGGTACATTTCCTTGGACTTTGACACTCAATGTGGGTGTGTGTGGTCTTTAGGTTCCCCCCATCCCCTCCTCTCCCTGTGGGGTCACAGGGAGGGAGGTTAGTAAACAGCTAATCCTGGTTTAGCCGTTTACTCTGCTAATAGTATAAGGAAAACGAACAACCAGATTCTGTTTTGTATTTTTATCACATTGTATAGTGCTCATTGTTAAAGTTGGCTCTCATAATTTTTGTTAAAGACATTACCATGCTTTATTATAGCTTGACAGAGCTTTTTTTATGCTTTAATTGCAGTATAAATTTAATTGCCTTTGCCCTCTCAATAAGTATAGACTGAGATTTATCTGGATTGTTTTCAGATATAAGCTGTTAAGCCCTTTTCACTAGATTTTCCTTTGTTAATGCTTCTTGAAAACTTGACAAAGCTAATACTTCCTGGCGGTCCTTCCTGTTCTTTTTGTCTCTCCATCATTGTACTTCGCTTTCAGTTAGGGTTGTTTTGTGTACATGAAATATGCAAAAAAATGTACACATTTATTCTATACCACTCACCTTTATTATGAGAGGTTTCAGATTTTTTTTATACAAGTTTGATAACTGGAAATTTCAGATTGCCTTCTTTTTCAACAATATTGGAAATTATTTTTTGAAAATGTAAGTATGGGAGCTAGAAGATTTACTGTGTGTTTTAATGTGTATTTGCATGCTTGTATCTACTAATATATCTACTACTGTAATTTGTTTACTTAGATATTTGTCTAATCATAAATCCTTTTAATTCCAGGGAAAAATGGAGCATGCTAATTATTCAAAGAGAAAATCTACTATTCATTCCATCAGCAAGGAGCCCATAAAAAAGAAACCAAACTCTGTTACTGAAACTGATACAGGGCTTGTGTGTCATGAGTGTAGGAAGACATTCCAGTGGAGAAGTAACCTTACAAAGCACATGAGAACTCATACTGGAGAGAAACCGTACAGCTGTAGCATTTGTTCATACAAAACGAGCTATAGTGAAGCCTTGAAAAGACACACGAGAATACATACTGGTGAAAAACCATATGCATGTGACATATGTGATTACAAGAGTAGAGACTACGGCTCATTAAAAGTTCACATGAAAAAACATAATCATGAAAATAACATATTGTTATAAGCTCTTTAGCAATAAGTCCTAATGATTTTTAATGGTACCTATTCATTTGGACACGTCATATCGTACAGAAAATGGTTTGCCAATGGATTTTAATACCCACTTATGCTTATCCAACCTAACTTAACCCAAACCAACCTAACCCAACCTCGCCTAATACAGCCTAACCTATAGCAAGGCACCCTAACTTAACAATATTTATGACTAGCAGTACCCGGCCACGCATTGCTGTGGCTCAGCAATGCATGTGTGTTGCCTTCCCTGTCCCCCAGTCCTCCCCACCATTCCCCTCTCACCCGTTTCCTCGGCCTCCCAACCATTCCCCACTCCACCATCCCCTGTCCCTTTGTCCTCCCCACCATTCTCCATTCCCCCATCCCCTCGTCCCCATCATCCCAAACTCCCCCATCCCCTCGTCCTTCCCCACCATTACCCCCTCCCTTGTCCCCTGTGTCCTTCCCACTATCTCTCACTTCCGTCCTCTCGTCATCCCCACCATTCTCCACTCCCTCGAAAAATGGAGCCTTCCCGATGCCTTCCCAAATGGTCTTATGTTCCCATCAGAAAATTGGGAACATCAAGTGATCTAATGTTCCCATCACTGAAATATAAGAAAAACAGTTCAAAAATTAAATGAAAATATGAAAAAATAAAAAATATACTAGCTCACGAAATGAGTGGTATGGTATACAACACAGCTCAATTTCAACGCAATTCACACAAAATAAATCGAAATCTATGAAAATTCAATTTATCAATGTAATCAGAAACATTGAAATGGAATTGTAAAATATTTAGTATAGCATGTGTGTTGCTCTTACATACAACAGATGGTGCTGTTTTCCAAGAAAAGCATAGTTTTACCTGTCACAGGTGTGGAATCCATACTTATACTTATGAAATGAACGGTATGGTAAACAACACAGCTCAATTCCATCACAATGTCACAAAATAATTCAATAAAAAATAAAATAAAATCAAAATCTATGAAAATAAAATTTATTAATGCAATTGGAAACATTGAAATGGAATTTGTGACATATTTAATATAGCGTGCATGTTATCTTGAGATGAGGTTATCTTGAGATGCGGGGCTTTAGTGTCCCCGCGGCCCGGTCTTCGCAGGCCTCCACCCCCAGGAAGCAGCCCGTGACAGCTGACTAACACCCAGGTACCTATTTTACTGCTAGGTAACAGGGGCATAGGGTGAAAGAAACTCTGCCCAGCACCTGGGATCGAACCCAAGACCACAGGATCACAAGTCCAGCGTGCTGTCCGCTCGGCCGACCGGCTCCCAATTGTTGCTATTATGTGCAACAGATGGCGCTGTTTTTAAAAAACGCAGGTTTTTACCTGTCATAGGGGTGGCATCTATATAGTAGGTATATAAAAAGATGCACCTATTCGAATGCAATGTTGTGTCAAAATTTCAAAGCAATTGGTGAAGAACTTTCAGATATTACAGTGTATGTAGCTCTTATGTCCAACAGATGGCGCTGTTTTTCAAAAAAAGCATGTTTTTTTCTGTCACAGGTGAGGCATGTATATAGTAGATATATACAAAGACGCGCCTTTTCGAATGCAATGTTGTCAAAATTTCAAAGCAATTGGTAAAGAGGTTTCGAAGATTTCCCTCACATGAAAAACAGTTTTTCAGAAAAAGCATGTTTTTTTACCGTCACAGACGTGACATCTATATAGTATGTATATAAAAACCCTGCTTGGATGCGAATGGAACGTTGTGTGAAAATTTCAAAGCAATCGGTGAAGAACTTTCGGAGATTAGCGGTTATGCACAAACGAACATTTCCATTTTTATTTATATAGATTTTAACAAATAAAAATTATCATTGAATATAATAAAACACCATTTTTTGGACGAGCCCCGGTTTCTCCCGGAAACTATGTGCTGAGATGGCTACCATACCAGGTCACATCAGCCATACCGGGGGGGGGGGGGGGAGGGTTTCGAGGCCTACCGGGGATCAGAACCTGGTCGCCTCACAGGCACTGGGAGCAGTAACATTTATTTTTGCCACCTTATTGAAGGTAACCAGAAAGTCAGAGTCAAACCAGACTACTGCTTGATACCTGCTTGATGTGGTTCTGGGAGTTCTTCTACTCCCCAAGCCTGGCCGACAGCCCAGTTGGTCTGGCACTTTTTTTAGAAAACAATCTAGTTTTCTCTTGAAGATGTTCACGGTTGTTCCGGCAATATTTCTTATAGTCGCTGGGAGGACATTGAACAACCGCGGACCTCTGATGTTTATACAGTGTTCTCTGCTTGTGCCTATGGCACCTCTGCTTATCCCTACTGTACTTAGGGATTCAAAGGAGACCGAAGCCTCGAAACACGCAGAACTCCAATTATATAAACAAACGATCGAATTCTCTTAGAACTAGCGTAAGCTTATTCACTCCACCTCCCCTACTTGTTTGAAGGGAAGGGGAAGGTAGCTTACTGCCTGCCATGGCCTGAGCTCTCAGTTCTAGGGCAGATGTAGACATACACCCAACAACTAGTAAGGAAGGGAGGAAATCAGGAAGCCACTGGGGCTTACCCAGAAAATGGCATTTATTTATATTCAATGCTGTTATTTTGTGGGAAGTTCCTTGTGGTACCCTGAAGCTACCTACCCACAAAGAAGGAAGAAAACATGGGAACTAACCAGGGAGGAGGAAGCATTACAAGAATCAGGACAAGGATAAGACTGCTGAGAGACATGACCTAATGCCACACAAGAACGCCGAGGCCCAGTAACATTCACGAAATATCAAGCCACCAGAGCCCTGTTTAATCTTTAAAACAACCGCACCCGAATATCAGCCCATGACATGTTTGTAAACACAGCCGAAAGAATGGCATAATTTCTAACGTCATAGTTATGAGGGTAGGCCACAGGCTGGCTAGACTTAATAACACTGCAGATGACCTGAGAATTACGAACCTTGGAATAGGGGACCAAGGAAACAGAATCAGCCTACATGGCATCCACCATGGCAGAATCAGTGGCACAAAGGTAGAGGCAGAGAGCCACCACCAGACAACACATAATGCTACACCTGCCGAACCACCCAAGCATCACCAACCAAAGGACCCCTGTGGAAGCCAACCGACTTTTTCTTTGCAAAAATAGGAGCCAGCTGTAAATGAACATAACACCCACCAGGGCCAAAGGAATAAAAACCCTGCCTCCAGAGGAGAGCATGAAGCTCTCCAACCCAACAGCCAGAGGCAAGGGAAACCAAAAACAAAGCCTTCGAAAAATAATACCAGACCAAAGGGGACACAGTGAAATGAGAAGAGTTAAGAAAAGTAAGTACACAGTCTAAAAACCAGGCAGGCTCAGGCAGTGCATGAGCAGACCAGAGGTGAAACAAGGTATGACACAGCTGGAAAACAGTACCGAGGTATAATCGACACCGAACACAAGCTGTAGCAGTTATGCCAGCGCAATACAATACATGGCGACATTGTGGCACGAGATGCCAATCAAGAAAACTCCAAGAAAGGAGAGCACCACATGCTCAGAAACCAATAAAAAATGACGAAAGGAGTGTTCACTCACCATGAATATGGCAATAAAGATGTGTACAAAATTCCAGATGCGAAGAGCTGAGGAGAAGGTTAAACCAGAGAAGTACATCATTATGACGACCTTCAGAAGCATACAAATTGTTTAACATCAACAGGGATCACAAGGTTGTAAATATTGGGACAGCCTTCAGGTATCTCAGTAAAAGTTATTTAAGTATATCACATATGCAAGAAATATTAATTAGTATAGGTGAAATGTTCCACTTAAGCAGGTAGAGGATATAAAGTAAGTCCCAAAGTTTGCCAGATGACTAGTTCTGAAGCTGAGAGGAAGAGCTGCATGACCTTGATTTTACAATATTGGAAGAGTGCAATACAAGAAGGGATTGAATTCCTGTTGTCTGGAACTTGTATCCAAGTTTCCCCCAAGTCGAACTACTGACCTTCCCCAGGATGCTACCCTCAACAGTTGCCTAATTCCCAGGTACTATATACTACTAAGTGAGCAGGGGCATCAGGTGAAAGAAAGTGTGCCCAACTATTTCTGTCCTGCTTGGGGATCGATCCCAGGATCCTTAATTGTGAGTCGAGAACATAGACCACTGTGCTACAGGAACCATAATAAACCTGGACATACACTGACCGTTTTAAAATGTTGAGAGACCAGACCTAGATACGGGACATCTAGGTGATGTCCCCTAGATGATGATGGAAGTTGATCACTAAATGAGCCAGAGGGATTTCAGGAAAAACATAGTTTCAAAAGCAGATATGAAGGAGCTTAATTATGCCAGTAAGCTGAAGGTTAAGGAACAGGTCCAGGAGTTATGACAACAACTGCAGGCACAGCAAAGTATGTGCACACATTTTTTAAGAATGCCTACTTTAGTGTGCTTTTTTTGTCAATAAAACTCTCTACAACAGTAATAGTTTTTAAATATCCTTATGCAGATGGTAAGTCACAATAGCATGACTGAAGATATTACCAAACCACACACACATCAGGAAACGGAGAAACAAGGGTGTCTTGGGCCATCCTGTGACCATTATCACATTATCAAGTTGTGTAAAAGAAAGAGAGGAGGGATAGACAAATAAATAAGGTAAGAGTGAGATTAAAGGTGAGGAGCAAGTAAGAGAAAGAATGTAAGAATAGGATGAAAAATAATAAGATGAAAGGTATGAATAAGAAAAGGGGGGTAAGAATGAGAGAAAACTGCAAAGCTTAAGTCATATCACGTTAAGAAGGTTGGAGCATTACTGTGAAAGGGAAGAGTCAACAGCAACAAAGCCAGGACTAAGGTTCATGTTGGGTAGGTTGTGTATTGGAGCCGATTCAACAAAATAGCGTCTGTGAAGAGTAAAGGCAGGAAAGATCATTTTAGAAGACAGTCTATAAGATGATTAGTCTCTAACATGACAAGAGAGAGTATTGTTTGTGTTTGCAGACATAATGTTTTTTTTGTGATCTTAAAGTCTGTCATTTAGTGTATGGTCAGTTTCATCAAAGTATTGGAGAGGACAAAACAAACAGGAAATAGAGTAGACACCAGCAGCATTTCAAGCAGATGGAGCAGTGTGAACCAGATCAAACTTGACAAACTAACAGTGTGTGTTAGTTTGTCAAACGGTGAGTTTTACATCAAGAGGACGAAGTGTATTTGTGATATTTTGAGTCTTGTTATGAAATACTGTATCCTTCTTTCAGACATGAGAAGAATTACCAAGAGATGCCCCATCTTCCCCCTCAAGGAACACGTGTTGATGTAATTAGTGCATGTGAGGTT